CAACGTCTTCAGATCGAGGATTAGTGCCCCTGTATGGTTGATCGATAGGCCTAGACTTTTCAGTGATTCTTGTATCCAGGACCACGAGGTTTTTTTTTTTTTTATTGTGTACCCTGGTGCTGTGAGAGTAAAGGTGAGTCCTTGATGTTTTACTATGGTAAGAAAGTTAACTCTTTGTGCAAGGGAAAACCTTCAGCGCTCACATATCTCAGTTCCTGTCTCTTGTTTTGGCTTATTGGGCTGGAACACTCAAAATAGTATGTGCTGCAAGTTAGGCCTGAACCTGACACTGAGTACTGCGACCTAACATGGTTAATAGTCTGGATCAATGTTTCTCAGTATAGGTAATGTTTTAAATTCCAGATATAGATCAAGTGTTGTCAGTAGCCGGGCACCAACAGTAAAGTCGACATGTAAAGTTAAAAATATTCTGTCATTGGTTCATGTATTAGTGTCTAGTGATAAATTTGTAAAATTTATTAGTTGTCACAGCATAGGGTACTGGAAGATATTTAAGTATAAATATTTCTCCAGTATCTTTAACGCTTAGAGCAAAAATATGTAGGAAAATGACGTGTTAAAAGTAGATACATTTTAGGTAAGAATGAGTTAGCCGTGTTGCCCACAGAAACAGTTGAATTTCTAACTGCTCAAATCACATGATTAGAGATGTTCGAGAACAGGTAGCGGCAACTTGGTACCGCTAGTAATATTGCAAACCCTGCATAGAGTAATATTTCTATTGTCTTTCCTACCTAGTAGCTCTCCCTAGAGATATCGATGGACGGGTACTTTTGGATCAATTGATCAAAATAATGCGATATCCAGTCTAAGAAACGGACATACTCGCATTTCCAAACGTGGAGGCGTTACAATGTGACGGCCAATCTCACTATTCGTTGGTAAAACAGTAGCTGTCTTTCTTCAAGTAACTTTGCATGAAATTAAAAAACTTTTTTTTTTGAGACTTATAAACATTTGAAGTTAATTTTACATTTTGAATACTAACTTTATGTTGAGGGAATACAGGATCTTTATGAAATCCACACGCATGAAAATCTAAGCTTAAATTTAGCTTGTAATTATACACACTGTTTAAAAACAAAAACCAGTAAGGAAGTTGTGTTAGTACATTTATGTTAACAATGAATATTTGATATTCATTTCTAATATCTAGATAATTAAAATAAAATTTACGCGTGATGGTTTGGTGTTTTACTACAAAATAATGAAAACTATACAAGATGAAATAAACATACCGAGGCTGTTTGTAGGATGCTATTCTGAATGTAGATTGTAGCGAACTTTACACGTAGGTATTTAAACCAAGATTAAGCCTAATTTAGAGAAGCAAATTCAGCTACCGCATTACATAAGTCTTTTTATTTATTTTTTTAATTTAAGCTTTGCAAAATCACCTAAGATTAGGTTTGGTACAGCAACAATCATTCATTTAGTAGTCGGTAATATTACGTCTTATGTGTTATAAACAAATAATAAATTTCCTATGAAAACAAAAATGTTTTGTTTTCTTCATTTGTATAAAATCTAAAAGAAACTCGCAAAAAAATACTACAATTAATGAAAAGGTTAAAAAATTTAATCCAGAACAATTAGCCTCGCAGCATTTTCAAAAACTACCCCGAATTCTGACACTCGACTACAGTGTACTTAATGTTTGACACCTCTTATTAAGACATTCACTATTTTAATTGTTTTTACTCCCCTTTAATTTATCCAGCATACTCAAACGCTTTTGAGAAATACCGGCTTTCCATTTTATATTTCCTCTCTTGTCTGCTATCGAGTATGATCCTTATCTATATATCAATCTACCTATATTGATATTCAAAATGTCATTAGCAGTTTCATGTTCTTTTTGTTTATTCTTTTTCTCAATATCCTCTTAACCTTTCTGTACCATCTTTAGTTATAAAAATATTTGCTTTAATAGAACGCTATTAAATTTACGTCACGTGATAAAAACCTCACCTTAAATATGGGACGATTGTAAGAAGTGCCAACCATTGAAAAGATAATCGAAACCTTTCCGTTTTTTGGGTTTTTACAGATTTTTCTCACACTTTGGGCCTCTTGCAAAACTACTCACACAAATGCGGTAAATTTAAGTAGAGTAAAGAGAGAGACAAATGTTTAAAAAGTAAGGGATTCGTTTGTAAAGGCACCTATGTTGAAGTACTTAAGAGTTCAGTAAGGAACTGTTGATGTTTATGGAACATGTTGTAATGTACCACAGTAGACAGCTAAACAATGTTTAAATCAATTATTTAATAACTACGCAAGAGGGCATAGGATTAAAGCAACTCAAAGAAATGCCCTTTTGCATCATGTGAGAAATTTACCGCGGTTACAGACCAGAACCACGAAGATGGTTAAAGACATTAAAATAACCATCCTCAAGGTTAGTACGATGGTTATCGTTATTGCAGATTTATGATTTTAGTGCTACACACACAGATCTGTAGCAAACATTCTTATGTAGATGCTATAATAGACAGGAGAAAGAAGAAGTTTACAAAGTAAAATAATCAAATGCAAATAACCCCAGTTTAACATAGAAATTAGTTACGTTTGTGAAAGAATACTTTAAAAATTATAACATAAGCTTTGAAATACAGAGTAGAAAGAAATAAGCGAGCTGAATATATAGAATTTAAATGTTTCATGTTTTAAATGGGGATATGTCTTAAAAACAATTTTATCTGTTAAGCTTTAAAAAATTAATGAATGTATACCATGACAATAGGTTTGTAGCACATTTGACAAACGTCTCAACATTCTGTAAAGAAGTAAACTGTTTTACTGGAACACAAGGAAGAACGATATATACGAAATATGAAAATGGTGCATATGATGTCAAAGGAGAAAACTTGTCCATTTTAACAAATAGAACTTTTAAAATAATGCCAATGCTAACAGTACCATTTTAGTTAATTTCTGTGGATATATTATGCCCATTACCTTCATGGTGTCAGAAAAACACGTTCCATAAGTCTTAATACAAAATGATAAAAACCCTATCGCTTTCGAAAGATGGACCTTTCTATTTAGGGGCAAACCAGGAATCGTGGTGGAATCGAATGAGTGATATATAAAGGAAATAATGTCACCTGATGATGACAAAACCTTGTCGAAACGTTGTGCATCTGCTGTTATGTTAAACTTATATTAAAGTTTTTCTTCATTACCCATTCAAGCCGTCTCCAACCATTATCAGTCTCAAAGTGGGTTCCTTGTCATCGAATATAATGGAAGTTGAGTGACGTTATGAAAGCCTTCTGGTCTTCCAGGAAATGTTTAGTATAATTTTTCATGTGATGTTGTGTGTTCCATTTCCGGTACAATGTGGCCAGCTTCAAGAGTGTTATGTAAAAAGGTGTTGGGGATATTTTGCTATAGAAATGGTTGACAAAGAAAAAGATAAAACTGTGTTTAAGTAAAATAAAGTTTACACCTGGAGACTGATTGAAAAAGAGATGTTAAGCGTTATGCTAACTGATGATTTATACAAACAGGTATGGACAATTATCTTAAATACCTTATCTTATCTACCCGGCAATACTCGGCTCCGTCCGAGTGTCGAAGTTAGGCATCTAAGCCCCAATCTTTGTGGCAACTAACGCAGTACCGAAAGTTAAAGTCAATAATTGGTTTAGTTATACAAAAAACGTGTTCCGAGCAACAAAACCTGACCGCCAGCTGAAAGTTGTGGATTCAGAGAACAAAAAAGGTTAATAACAGGCACGACTTGAGAAGTGGATTTCTGGGTAAGTTGGGGGTTGTGAGAACAATAGGGGGTTAGGGTTTGAGAAGTTGGGGCTAGGCATTGAAAGTTGAAAGTACAACTTGAATGTTGTGTTGGTGATTATTTAGTTAAATGTAATAAACATCAATTTTTCATATTTCACGAGATGCCTTAATCTATTAATGCTATTGTATGTACAATGTATACAATTTAACACAGAGTGAACACCAATCTACACACTTGTGTTCTGTTTTGTTAACCCACAATGATCGTATTGTTTTAACTTGAAGTTGTGTTTTATCCATTCAAACACCCGTTAAATCGGAAAATCAAACACTATTATATACACATTGAAAGAATATCTAACCTATATAAAAGCCAGCGTGTGTCACATCATGCTTGATTTCTCGAAATAGGAGTCATAAAAGCCAAAGTGCATTTATCCAACTAGATCAGTTCGATTACTGTCTGCCCATTAAGATTTTAGTGACGGGAGTGCAAGGGGTGGTGCCATGAAACCTAATAAGTGTAGTGAGTGTTGGTATAATAAACCTAAAGTAAAGACATAGTGGGGGATCACCAAGCCTAGAGCCACGTGCATAAAATTTATCATGAAAGTAAAAATATCGAATTAATTTTAAACTTAAATCGTTTCTGAATTAAACTATTTTGTATTATATCACCAACGTTTTTATTAAAAACAAACCTCTTTAATCAGCGGAAACTCTAAATTAAGAAATCAACAAATATTTTTCCAGTTTTGTTGGCTATACATTTCATTTTATACTTTCAGTAAATAAACTAACAACAATATTAGGTTATACTTTTATCGCTAAGCAACATGACATAAATACATTATTGGAACGTAGTGTTATCAAAACGCACTGGCTTTTCTTAGAAGTTCTTAATCTAACTGATTTTTACCAATAATTATTCTATCAATATGCCACGAATTAATTTCATGAATGATATTTTTGATTGGCTCACAAAGGAATTTACTGACGTTTGACTTCACTTTTCTGCATCTTTGTTAGTCAAGATTGATTTTGCAAAATTTATTTATTTCAATTTTCAGTTAGTTATGAAATGTGAGGTTAGGGTATACTATGGGATGGGGTGATACTGGTAGTACTTGCCCCGTCATTTTTCAAGGGCTATACGCTAATTTATAATAATGAACACCTTAAACACTACTACTTTCAAACTGGAGAACTACAATACGGAACATACTTACTAGTAAATATTTTTGGTGAATTAGTTCGCATGGAGATCACTGATTCTAGCCAAAAACACGCAGGACCAAAAAGTAGGATCGGAAACTAAACCTAATAAACTCACAGCTTTCAGAAAGCGACTTTTATTCGTCAGGTATAAAGAGCGAATGGCCATTGTGCGCATGTCGATTAGTTACGTAGTTATTGAAACGTCACGAGAGACCTAAATTGCGAAATAGCATTACGAGTATATGTGATGTGTCAGTGATGGGAAACAACAGAAGTATACTTTACGTCACCATAGATTACTGACTCCCATTGCCAATGTTTACATTTCTGTTGAAAATGGAAGTACCAAATCTGTGACCAGGGTTGGACTGGATTCTAAAATTTTACCGAGAAAAAAGCTAGAAGGGGCCCACCGGGATACTTCCGGTGTCTCGTTAGGGCATTCTGCGCCTTTCTGTGACGTCACTTTCTCGATATCTTCACTGTGTTCTAACCAGGTGACGCAAATGCTGTATTATGTAGCAATAACTTGAAATAACAGTTAATAAAAAACAAAAATAAATTAACTAGGTGGGTAGGCTTAGGCTAATACAACCATTCATGTTGTTTGATAAGGCAAAAAAAAAGTGTAGCAGAAAAATGAGAAACAATGTCTCAATTTTCCTGGGGCTTTTACGTATTTATAAAAAATCCTATATGCATAATCTGAAGAAATGTCTTTTTACGTAGAACAATACTTTTATAATACACCATTTTTCAATATATACAACACTTTCCTAGTGTCTTTCATACACTTAATGACCACAATCATTAATCACTGATTAATCATCAAAAGCCCACACAAACTATTATGTATTTAGTAGTAGTTGTTTTTGTGGTTTGTAGTAATCGAAGAAATTCCAAGTTGTCTACTAAAGTGATTATTTCTGATATCAGTGTACACAACAAACATTAAAATTAAAACAGTAATATCAGAATGAAATTAAGAATGTTATATATATTAAATATATAAAAAAAAATTTTGAAACCTATGTAAATTTTAATTTCAAATCACTTTAATTCGTGACTGGGTTTAGAGCATAGGTTGGTCCTGTGATAGAACTCTGGATTTAGGAACTCGTGATCCCGATTAGGATCTGTGCGATATCAGAAGTTATTCCTGGCATTTTGACCTATGAGTACATTATGAGAAGGATAATCAAACCCTCAGTGTGGATGGTGTGTGGTAGGGCGCTACTGACTGGCTCTGTTAGTTCAAAATCAGCAGCCTCTGTATCTTTGCCATAAATGCGAAATTCAATTGTAAACAGGCTTAGTCTATTGATAAAAAGATTTCAAACTATTCATTATCCGCTTTGTACAGTCTTGGCCAAAATATATGCATATTTTATAACAAATAAGATCATTATCGTTAATATGGAATACAGATGCACTTAGCACTGTCAAACTGAAAAATGCATGTTATATTAAAATCTAAATATGTAATTTATATAATGAGACAGGTTCTATGGACATCATGAACGATTTGTTAGAACATCAAATAATATTATCAGATACCTGTAGAAAGATGTGTAATTCTGCATCTCATCTATGATAAAAAACTTGGTTGGTCCTACTCGTACTCTAAAAACCTCGGCAACGCGACGTAGCATGATGTCCATGAGGTTATTGATGTAATCCACTGTGATTTCATCCCAACTCGTTACTAGAAGGCACTACAACTCAGCTACAGCACGTGGTTTAGCGTCATGGTTAGAAATTTTCCGGCTCATTTCTGCCCAACAATTCTCAATGGGATTACAAGCTGGATACTTTGCTGGTCCTGGAAATCTTGTAACGTCCTCCTGGTCGAAATAATCTTGTATAATATACACACTTTTAGAAGTAGCATTGTCATTTTGGAACACAATAGAAAATGGCAGAAATATCGTCTTCATGTGATGCCTGTAGGAGGCGCTATTGACGTTTCCCAGGAGGATATAAAGGGCATTTTTTCCATTATGATGAATAGCTGTCAAAACATGTACTGCACCACCTCCTGTGTGTGTGTTCTCTGTGGAAAATACAGCCTTCCCTCATCTTTTCTCCAGGCAAATGACGAACACAAATCCTATCACCAGCTTTAACAAGCCGGACACAGAACTCATCTGAAAATATGACATGTTGCCAGTGTCCTAACTGTAAGTTGGCATGCTATCTTGCCCAAGTAACATAGTGACAGCAGTGAATTCTGGTTAATGTCGGTTTGCAGATAGCTCTTCTTGCAAAATAACCTTGTTTGGTCAGTCTCCTATTCACAGTTCTTCTGTATGCCCTGGAATGAATGTATTCATATTGTTACGACAGCGGAAGTCACGTGACGCTAGTAACACGTCATGATATTCTCGAAGGTTCGTGAAT